CTGGTCTCGAACTCCTAGCCTCAGGTGATCCACCTGCCTCGGCCTCCCAAAGTGCTTGGATTACAGGCGTGAGCCACCATGCCCAACCTCAACTGCCTTTTTTTGATTTTTAAAATATGATAAAATACAGAGAACATAAAATTTACTGTTTTAACCATCTTACATCTTAAAAGTGTAACCCTAGTGCTTTTTAGTGTATTCACAAGGTTGTGCAGCTATTGCCACTGTCTAGTTCCAGATCTTACCACATCACACCACATGGAAACCCTGTACCCATGAGCACTCATGCCCCACCTCTCCTTTCCCCCAGGCCCTGGCAACACTCCTCTGATTTCTATCCCTATGGAGTTACCTAGTCTGCACACTGCTTTCTTTCTTTCTTTTTTGAGACAGAGTCTTGCTCTGTTGCCCAGGCTGGAGTGCAGTCAACCTCCATCTCCTGGGTTCAAGTGATTCTCCTGCCTCAGCCTCCTGAGCAGCTAGGATTGGAGGCACCTGCCACGATGCCCAGCTGATTTTTGTATTTTAGTAGAGACGGGGTTTTACTATGTTGGCCAAGCTGGTCTCAAACTCCTGACCTTGTGATCTGCCCACCTCAGCCTCTCAAAGTGTTGAGATTACAGGCGTGAGCCACTGTGCCCAGCCTTTCTTTTCTTTTCTTTTTTTTTTTTTAAGAGGCAGTGTTTCTCTATGTTGCCCAGGCTGATCTTGAATTCCTAGGCTGAAGCAATCCTCCCACCTTGGCCTCCCAAAGTGCCGGGATTACAGGCGTGAGCCACTGTGCCTGGCATTTGTTCGTCTTTATGGCTGAGTAATATTCCATCTTGTGGACAGACCACATTTTGTTTATGCATTTGTCAGCTGTTGGCCATGAGGCTGTTTCCACCATCTGGTGGCCGTGAGTAGAGCTGCTATGGACATTCATGTACATGTGGATTTTTTTGTCTCCATCATTATGGCTCACTGCAGCCTCAGCCTCAGGGGCTCACGTGATCCTCCTGCCTCACATGTACACGTTTTGTTTGAACACCTGTTCCAGTTCTCCTGGGCATACACCTAGGAGTAGACCTGTGGGTCACATGGTAACTGTTTAACTCTGAGGAACCGCCAGGCTCACTTCCATTTGACCCATCACAGACCTTGTGGGGCTTTACACGTGAGTGTGGCTTAAACCCTCCAAAGGCTTCTCTTCTCACTCAGAACAAAACCACGCACATGGTCCAGGGCATTTCAGCCACTCCCCCAAGCTCCCCAACTTGGGCTCCTCCTGCACTCCTTCTAGCCCCTTCCCTTCCAACCATGTCACCTTTTTTCTGCCCTTGAACACTCCACACTGTCCAGCCTCAGGGCCTCTGCCCACGCTCTCCCTCTGTTTGCGGCTTCCCAGGCGGCCCCTGTCCTCAGACCTTTGCCCAGCGGGCTCCTGGCATTCAGGGCCCACCTATGAGAGGCCTTCCCTGGCCATCCTGCCTGTCACTCCCTCACTTCCTCCTGCTTCCCTGGCAGTCCATTTTCTCCATGGCACACATGGCCCTCCAAGAGTTGTTACAGATTTACTTTTCCCAGGCTTATAGGTGCTTGGTGGAGCTTGTTGGGTGTCGGGATGTGACTGAACATGGAGGTGAACAAGTAGGGGGCAGGTGCCCCAGCCCAACCACCCCACCTGCCCGCTGCACTCACCGGGAAGGCCAGCTGGCAGATGGGGCCCATCCAGGCTTGGCGGTGCTGTGCAGCTAGTAGGTGGCTTCGCTCGGTGGTGGTGAGCAGGAAGGCACCAGTGTCCCGGGGGCAGCTCTCGCCGTCGGCCGGCAGCACGGACACACAGTCAGCCAGGCGGATGACCCGTCGCTCCCCTCGCCGGCCAGGCCCCGCCGACCTGTCACCCGCTGCTCCCAGGCCACCATCCCGGACCTCCCAGCTCTCCAGCCGTGCCACGCCTGATGGACCTCCTGCATACAGCAGAGCCCACACCTTCCGCCAGCACTTCTGCAGGAGAGGAGGGGGAGGGAGGAGAACCTTGGGTGGCAGATTCTCTGTGCCACTTGGCTCAGCACAAGCTGCTTAGCAAACGCTCCCAGCCAGGAGTGGTCCTCTGCTCCCCAGTTTCTCAGAGCACTAGGGAAGGAGGCCTTGGCTGTACTTGGGATTGGTTAGCCCCAGGATTGGTTCAAATCCCAGCCTGCTCTTTCCTAACTGTGACCTCCACGAGCATCAGTGTTGTCTCTCAAAAGGCCATGAGAACACGAGTTGGGGGTGCTACTGGGTCATGTCTGTAAAGCATCCAGTGGCTGGGCCAACCGCTAGACACTGCCATTATGTTGGTTCTCTCTCACCTCCAAAAAAGGGGCACTTGGGTCACAGGCCAAGGGCTGGGGTGGGAGGGAGGCCTCCACCTCACACTGGTAAGGAAGGAAACATGCAAATAGCTTCAGGCAAAGGAAACCAACAGTTTATCTGCCTGGGCAGCAGCTGCAGCTGAGCTGTGGGGGTGTGGGGCTGCTGCTGAGGAGAGGTGACCTCCCTGCCTCCTTGCTCCCAGGACAGTGCTGCTGCAGGGAGGGGCTCTACCCTTGGGGCCTCCTGCAGCTCAGCCCCTCGCCCTCCCTAGGGCCCTCGGTGCCAGTATTCTATGGGTCAGAGACCGTGAGGCTTTTCCCTGCTTGGAGGTTTGAGCCTTCTACCCTCTCCCGCTCCCGTATTTCCCGTCTCTCTCAAAGGCAGGGTGTGCTCAGCCCCCGCTGTCTCAGGCCGAGACCGAGGCTCTGTTCCACTCCCCATACCTGGGTGGGATCCTCCACCCTGACTCCCTTCCCAAGTCTCCCATGTCTGCCTGGGCTGTCCAACCTGGGAGAGGGTTCTGTGCCCCCTATTGGTCCTTGGCAGCTGCCTGGCAGCCGCCTGGCAGCCAGGGGTCCCCACCTTGCCAAACTTGACGTGCTGCTGGTAGAGGATGCCGTCCTTGACGGGGGTCTCCAGGGGCTCCATGGCCACAGCCACGGGCAGGGCTGCTGCTTCAAGACCTGGGGAGACTGATGACAGGCTGGACGGGAACTCCTCACACTTCCCCTTCTGGCCACTTCCCGTCCCTCCGTCCAGAGGCAGCTGCAGGCTGGGGGGAGGGGAGCCTCTCTTCAGTGAAAACTCCTGTCTTTAGCTCAGGGGCTGAGGGCTGCACATATTTCCTTTGTGGGGTTTTGGCTGCCCAAGGAGCCCACACTTGCCCAGAAGGAGCCCCTGGCCACCTGAAGGCAAATGGCCCGCACCTGCACCTGGGTCAGCTGGGCATGAGCGTCTGACCGCAGGCTGGCTCCAGAGTCATGAGCTCCCACCCCTCCCCCATCCCGCCCTGGGCAGCTATGCACCCTGGGCCTGACCCTCCCTGGCCCTGCCTTCTCTAGCCAACTCCTGGATTTCCCACTCAGTGTCCTGGCTTGAGGGCCTCACCTCTTCTTTCTCCCTGAAATCTCTCATGTTCACCTGCTATTCTCCACCCCACAAGCCACTGCCCATCCCAGCCTCGGCATCTCACCCAGGGGCCACTGCCCCCTGCAGCACTCACTACAACTCAAGACCAACCCTGTCTCCCCTTCCTGGGGTGCAGCCTGGGCTTCTCAGCCCAACAGTCAGGGGCCTGTATGTTATGGCCTCCATTTCCCTCAGTCTCATTTCCCCAGACCAGCCCCTCCAGGGCCCCTCACCACCGTGCTGCTCGGGGCAGTGGGCTGTCTCTTCCTCCTGGAGGCCTTCCCTGACCACTCCAAGCCGAGAGCACAAAGGCCCTCACAGCATATGTCACACTGGGCATCCAGTCCACATGGGATCCACAGCCCTGAACAGCTCCAACCACGTGAGTGTGGGTGGCAGGTCCCAGTGGGGCCCGGGGAGGTCACATGTTCATTTAAAGCTTTGCTTCCTGCTGGGGGCTCTTTCTGTTGGCTAGCTTAGCAGGCCAGTAGCGGGGCTGTGTGTATCTTTATTCTAGAACAGCCTCACGTCGTTCAGTGCCACCTCTGGGAGAGAACATCGAAGCAGATTGAGAAATGCTGTTTGGGCTTGCACTTGGCCAGGAAATATTTCCTAAAGGTCTCCTGGCACCTGGCTCTGTGCCCACTGTGGCCCAGGCAGTCCTGAGCTCCAGCTGCCTCAGACACCACGTCCTTTGCTTTCTCATTGCCATTTCAACAGTGAGGAAATCAGCGCTCAGAAAAATTAAGTAACTTGCCCAAGGCCACACACCAAGTGACAAATATGGCTTGAGCAACCACTGTCCCACTGGAATGAGCATGTGGCCATATGTGCAAAGTGCCTGGCACAAGGAACTGCAGCCACCTGTGCCATTCCCTGCCTACCTCTCGCCAGATGCTGCTTCATCTGCCAGTGGTCTTGTGACTGCCGTCCATGTATCTGTGTGTGCATCTTTCTTTTTCCTTACTGAGAGCTTCCCTGGCAGCCATCTCCCTGGCCCATCTAGGTCCTCGCAGCTCAGAGCTGGGCACAGAGCACGCTTAGGGGGAGCTTGTGGCCTGAACAACAGTTCTATGACATCTGCTGCCTCCTTGGTCAACAGAGCAGAGGGCTTCCTATGGGTGGCTGAAGCAGGCAGGCAGTGGGTGGGGGGCCTGAAGCAAGCAGCAGCCTCCCAAGGGGCTTCAGGAGAAGCCCCTGAAACATCACACCACTGACAGGAAGAGTGAGGCTGGGGGCTGTAACAGGTGGCCAGAGAGACCAGAGAATCCAACCGTTTCTCCTTGGCCTGCCAATGTGTCATAAATCCCTCCTTGAGTCACAAATGCAGACAACCCAATGGAGAGACCCCGAGTTCCCAGAGGTGGGAACCTGCTCATTGACTCCTTCCATGGCCAAGTACCAGCAGGCTGGGTGTTGGCAGTGCTAGTGGGAGATGCCGGGGCCTTGCCTCAGAGGGGCTCCAGAGGTCAGAGGCGAGGTCTGCCCAGGAACCAGGGGGCGGACAAGGCAAAACACAGACGCAGGGCCAGGGCTGGAATAGAAGTTTGTGCTTTAATGGCAGCTGGGGTGAAAGGGAACAAAAATAGTAATTCTGAGGGGCACAGGGAACAGGCAGCCAGGCCTAGCCTGGCCCAGCCCAGGCCAGCTGGGCTGAGGATGCTGGTTCTGTCCAGGGGGCTGCTGTGTGTGCACAGAGTGGCTGCAGTCCTGAGGACTGAGGCCTCCTGGAGAGGAAGGAAGACTGTTGGCTCAGAAGTCCATGGAGCTGTGGGCCAGGTAGTCCTTGCGGCCGATGTTGCTGACCTGCTTGGTCTGCATAGCCTCAAGTTTGGGGCAGTCAGTGATCCGATGGCCCAGGCCCCCACAGAAGGCACAGCCACGCTCTCCTGGGGGAATGGGGATAGGGGTCAGCAAGGTCACAGGCCGGGATCCACACCCTGGACCTCGGGCCTCCCAATAGGCACCCTCAGTCCACCAATGGCCAGCATGGACCTGTTTTGTGTGTTTCTGACTTCCAGTACCCTTCCCTGCCACCCGCCGGCTGGGGACTCATGGCTCCCGCCCCGCAGTCACCTCCGATTTCCAGCATAGACTCATCCCCACAGTGCAGCACCTGCAGCACAGGTGGCACCTTCTGCTTGGCTTCCAGCAGCAGGGCTTTGAGGTCCATCAGCACTGACTCATCTGGGGAGGAGAGGGGAAGCATCAGGCCCCACCCTGGGCCCTGCAGCCAGAATCTGGGTGGCCGCAGGCAGGGGACCCAGGGAGCAGCTGAAGTGGCTCTGGTGAGACTCACCACAGGCTTTGTTGATGAAGGTGGTAGCGATGCCCGTATTTCCTGAGCGCCCGGTGCGGCCAATCCGGTGTACTGTGGAGAGAGGGACAGAGTCTCCGGCCAACTGCTGGATACTACGAGCCTAGCCTGTGCCCCTGGGTCCCAAGCCCCTACCATAGTTCTCAATCTCCTCTGGCATATCATAGTTGATGACGTGCTGGATGGCAGGGAAGTCCAGGCCCTTGGAGGCAACATCTGTGGCTACTAGGACATCCTTCTTGCCCTCCCGGAATGCCTCGATGGCCTTAGTCCGTTCCTCTTGGTCTGGGGAGGGTCAGGTAGACACTGTTAGAGCCACCATGGGAGTAGGGGAGTAGCAGGCTGACCAGGCAGGGGAAGGTGTTAGGTGAAGTGCCGCTATAGCAGCAGGGTCCATGCCAGTGCTTGCACTACCCTGACCTTTGCCCCCATGGATGGCTACGGCCTCAACCCCCTTGAGCAGCAGGTACTCGTGGATGGCGTCCACATCTGCCTTCTTCTCCGCAAAGATGAGCACCTGTCCAGAAAGACCAACTCAAGTCAGGGGCTGACTGCGTGGGTACCCACCTCACCTCCCCTAGCACTCTGTCCCATCCAAAACCCTTCCTGGTTCGGGGGATTCTGGCCCCAGCCTGGCCCAGCTGCACTCACAGGTGGGGGTGTCTTCTGCAGGCACTCAAGCAAGTACACCATCTTGGCCTCCTCCTTCACGTATTCCACCTCCTGCCACCACAGGGATCAGGTCAGGTGATCTCTAGATTAGGCTTACCCGCCACAGCCCTGTCACACAGCCCCTTATCTGGATAAGGAGGTGGCCAGAAGCCTCTGGCCTCCAAGGGCTGGGTGCCCTAAAAATTGCCCTGGTTAAGGGTCAGGGGCTTTGAATGAAACCCCCAGTCCTCACAAGGTGGACCCCCGGCTCCAATCAGCTTCAGGGCGCCTTGTCAGATCCAGCCCCTACAAGTGAGAGACTGCCCATCAGGAGTGTCTGCCCACCTGGATGACATCCAGGCTGGCAGCCCCAGCGCGCCCCACGTTGATGGTAACAGGCTTTACAAGGGCACTCTTAGCAAAGTTCTGAATCTTCTTCGGCATGGTGGCACTGAAGAGCAGGGTCTGCCGCTGGCCCTGAGGAATAATGGGGGCTGCGACCTAGGGCATGCAGCGCTGGGCTGAGGGGCATGGGGTCTGGGGAAGCTGAGCAACTAAGACACAGCCCACGAAGTAGGAGCAGTGGGTGGGGTGGTCGGGGACATGGGGTCTCCACAGTTCAATGTGGTGTGCGGTGGTGGGGTGGTGCGTGGGTACCCTGGCTGGGCAGGGGGCAGGCACCTTGAAGTATGAAAAGATGGTGCGGATGTCGCCCTCAAAGCCCATGTCAATCATGCGGTCAGCCTCATCCAGGGCCAGGTAGCGACAGATGTCTAGACTGACCATCTTCTTCTGCAGCAAATCCATGAGGCGTCCTGGGGTGGCCACCATCATGTGCACACCGCTGAGGACCAAGGAGAGACCCTGAGGTTGGGGCCACTGGACTGTCACCTCCCACAGACACCCTGCATTTGTTCTGCTCTCTGTTCTCCTTCCGATTTCTTTCTCTGTCCCCTCCTTGTCATTCCTACCACTTATAGGGCCCTATGTATAACACACAACTCTTTCCCAAGGCACTACAGCCTTCTTCGCCACCGCTAGGCCTGGCACACCCTTCCCACTTCTCCTGGGTCAGTCCTCCCACCAAGGGGCTGTCCTAAAGCTCCAGAGGCTTTACTCTGGACACACTTTCCTGGTACATTGGCTGCACCTTTTCTGTGCCAACATCTCCCTAAGACTAGGAATGCCTCTGGGATGGGGACTGGACCATCTGTGAACAGAGGGCCTAAGGCCTCTGGTGGTCTGCAGTGGACTGCACAGCATGGAAAGGACACAGGTGCAGCTGGGATCCAGTCCTACTCCAGTGCCTCAGCCTCCTTGACTGACCACTGAATGACCCTGACCTTCCTGGGCTGTCCACCTCTGCACTTTCAGTCTGAACTGACCCTCTTCCAAATTCAAATATTACCTTCCCTGCAAAGCCTTCTCTGAGCTCCCTCCTCCCAGACGTCCCAGCATGGTGGGCCTTTCCATCTGCTGTGCTCCCACAGTACCTGGCCATATCCCTCTGTTCTCCCCCAAATGACCTCCCCATTAGACTGGGAGCTCCTTAAGGGACGGACTTAAAGCAGACCTCTGTGAAGATCTGTGGAGTAGCTAAGGTAAGAGGTCCTTTAGTTTTTCCATGGACTCTAAGATGGTGGAGGGTGGGGGCAGGGAGCACCAGCACTCACTGTCGGATGGTCTCCATTTGCTCTTTCACGGACATGCCCCCGATGCAGAGAGCGCAGCGCAGGAGTGGCGAGCTGTCCTCCTGCAGCAGGCGGCAGTAGTACTCCAGGATGCCATGGGTCTGCCGGGCCAGCTCCCGCTGTAGGCAGAGAGACAAAGGCTGGCACCAGATGGCAGCCCCAGTCTCTGCCCTGCCCTCCAGGGTAGCCTATCTTACTGAGGGGCAGATGATGAGTCCATAGGGTCCCTCACGCTTTGAGAAAGGTAACCTCTTCTCTTGTTCCAGGCAGAACATGATGACAGGCAACGTGAACACCAGTGTCTTGCCTGAACCCGTGAAGGCAATGCCTATCATGTCACGGCCAGATAGACTGTTGGGAGAGGATGACCCAAGGGTCAATTTCAACAGAAGATGAAGGACACCTACCCACTGCTTCTCCCTGTTACTGCCCTCCTCGAGGACCCCAGGTCCACAGTCCACACTCACATGGTAGGGATGCCCTGGATCTGAATGGGTGTTGGGTGGTGGATGCCTTTCTTCTTCAGGCCTCTCAGGATGGCTATGAAAACCAACCGACACCGTCCTCGTGACTCACAGGTACTTTCTCAGAGCCCTAAAGCCTGTAAAATTGGCACTACCACTTCAAGTTGGAGATGATGAAATTGAGGCTCAGAGAGAGAGAGAGACAGAGAGAGGGGAAAAAAAGAGACTTGTCCAAGGCCCACAGGCTAGGTGCAGCCAAGATTTCTATCCAGTGTTTATGCCCAATGTCATTTTCCTCCTGAAGCTTTCTAACAGCACAGAACAGTGAACACGTACAGTTGCGGCAACAGGGAACCTAAAGAAACTTCTCCTCATATCCCTCCAGCCCTAGTGACTGGACCCAATGCAGATGTGGCTGAGCTCAGTGGAGGCTAGGACATAACCTCACAAGTATTTGATTATAAAAGTGTAGTCTCTCTCCAGCCCCAGTACCTGCAGGAAACTTCATTTCCTTGAAGCTCTTGATGGGTGGTGGGATACCGTCTCCCTCCACCAGGATGTGGTATTTCTTCCGCACACGCTCATGTCGCTCTTCAGACATGCTCAGGACATAACGGGGCGGAGTCCAACTGTGGATGGGTAACAGGGATCAAGAGAGCCCTGGGCACAGCTGGCCTGGGAGCATTCCTGCACATACCATCCTAAGCAAGGGCAACTGCAGACTGTACAGACATACCTGGTTTTGATGGGGTCATCATATGTGATGCCCTTAGCCATCTCCTTCACTGACATCAATGCTGAGGAGAAAGATAAGGATCAGGGCTGGCTCCTGCTTCTGAGAGGCCAGATCCCTTGAGATATAACATGCCTGAAGCTGGTAGGAGGAGACTCAGTCTACCTCCTCATTATCCTGGCTACAACCATACCTCGGCCCTCAGCCACACTCTCCAGAATCTTCTCTTCTTCCTTCAGCTGCTTCTCCTTGGCAGACTCTTTGCGGGCTGAGAAAAGAAGTGGAAGATTTCAGACAGACACCAACACAATGCGTTAGGCTCAGCTTCTCCCTTCCCACCCAGGCAGTGCTGTTCAGCCCACCTTCAGCCTTCTCTTTAAGGTGCTGGTGCTGATCCAGGAGGCTGACATTGGACTGAGGGCCCAGCGGGATGTCGTCCTCATCACCCCGGGGTTCGCTGCCACTGTCCTGCTGCTCTTCCTCCGCAGCTCCCTTGCGTCTTCGCTGCAGCAGCTTCTGAAGCTAAGGTTCCACCCGGGTCCCACAGACAGAATGGGCACGGGGTCCATAGGGCCCGCATCAGGATCCTGGCTTTGGGGCGAGGGTCCTGTGCCCGAGGCGCAGAGGTGCCCTACCCCTCAGATCAGGCCGTTGGCCCCTCGTTTGCCTGGGGGCCGCGCCTCGGTGCACTGAAGCTCACTCCTCAGACAGCCCTCCTCTCCACCAAGGCCGAGGCCACACCCGTCCCCTGCGACTTGACGATCACGACCCCATCCCTCCCCGGACGCGGGCCCCTCACCAGCAGCTGCCGGCGCTGCCGTAACGGCACATAGGGCACGTAGTCCTCGTCGTCCTCATCCTCCGCTTCGGAGCGGCTTCCTCCGGCAGTCGCCTCGTCGGTGCGAGCCCGCTGCAAGCACACAAGTGTCAGATACAGCCGGCTCCCTTCTTCACGCCCGCTCCTACCCGCGCAGAACCTCCCCTGGCTCCTACCTTCCGCTCGGGTTCGGACTCCTCCATTCTTTGCTGTACGCATGTGCGCCACAGCGAGACCCCGCCTCATCTTTGAGTGAGACCCAATCCGATGTAAAGAAGCGAACGTCGGCGCGTAGCAACGACCTCGGAGTTCCGGATCGCGCAGAGGGACAAACTTGTTCCGGAGCCGCTATCGCCCTCCTGCGTGGTTACGCGGTGGCTGCCAGGACCGAGGGCGAAAGAGGTAGCAAGGCATTGTGGGACACTGGAGGACTTGGAGCATGCGCTGAAAGGCTCAACCAAGCCCATGGGAAGAGGAAGACGCTCGCGGTGGAGACCGCTGATCTCAAGTCGGGGCGGCCTGCCAGGTGACCAGTCTCTCCCAGGGCATGGCGTCTTGGGCGTGCCCCTGCAGGCGGACAGTGCGCCCTCTAGGGCCGGGTGTTCCGGGCCGAGTTTGCGTGGGTCGCCTGCGCCTCCATCACTGCGGGGGCAGCCGGGGTTGCTGGGTAAACCGCTCGACGCAACCTGCCGCTCTGACTGCTCCTGACTGGGGGACGCATCAGATACGGATGGCAGTGGTTTTGAACTGGGAGGCCCCGTATAAATGCAAACGATTATTACTGTCAATGCTCTAACAGAGCTGCCTGGGGGGCGCTTCCCGGGAAGCGTGGGAATCTCAGGCCGGGAGAGGCGTCCTGGGCCAGGGCCTAGTAGGAATACAGGTCTGGCAATGTGCAAGTACACAGATTCACCAGGAGACAGCGCTGCTTCTAGGGTAGGATGGGGCAGCCAGAGCTAAGGCCGGAGAAGGAGATTGCGCCCAGAGCATGCTTGCGGTGACTGTCAGAGTAAGTGGTTTCAACTTTATTAGAGACTTCTAAGGAGGAATGACTTGGTCAGCTCCGTGCTTTATTTCCTTCAGGAATATGTGCTGGGCACAGCGCTTAAGCGGATGATAATCAAGACACATTAAAAAAAAAAAAAAAAAAAAAAAGCCGGGCGTGGTGGCTCACGCCTGTAATCCAAGCACTTTGGAGGCCAAGGCGGGCAGATCACCTGAGGTCGGGAGTTCAAGACCAGCCTGACCAACATGGTGAAATCCCGTGTGGAAGCTTATGGTTCAGTTGAGACTAGAAATATACACAGATAACTGGTCCTAAAGTTAAAGAGAAAGATCCTAAGACAAGGTACCGCCTTCGGAAGGGTCATAGTTTTCATAGTATAATGGCCTCTCGGGTGGGATGTGAAGGATACACAGGGATTCATGAAAAAAGGGTAAACTGAAAGGAGGAAAATACGTGAAAGTTGGGAGACCTGACGGTATGGGACCTAACTGGAGAGGAAGGTCGTCCAGCATGGCTGGAACAAGTACTGGAGTCAGGGGCCCAGGCACGAAGGTCCCAAATGCCACTCACAGAAGTCTGTTTCTGTAGATAGATGGGCTGCTTGATCAGACCTGCAAATTTTGGATGAAGCAGAATTTTAGGTAGCACTGCCAATTCAACTGCAGCAGGGCAGGAATGTACAACAGCCCACAGGAGAGAGGAACACAGCCAACAAATACAGAGAAAGGTTTCACATTTCCCTTGGGGATTAGGAAAGGCTGGGGACCAGGAACTGTGAGTCTGCGGGCACTGCTGTTCTTTTCTTTAGTAAAAAAAAAAAAAAAAAAAACTTACGCCGGGCACAGTGACTCATTCCTGTAATCCCAGCTCTCTGGGAGGCCAAGGCAGGAGGATGGCTTGAGGCCAGGAGTTTAAGACCAGCCTGGACAACACAGCAAGACCCCATCTCTATAAAAAAAATTAAAAAGCTGGTGCTTACTGCCAGTCCCATGGTGGGTCTCAACCTGGGAAAGATGGAGGACATGGTTTCTGGTCCTGCTCATAACACTCAAATACATGGCTCTTTGTGACCCTGTGAGCTCCCCATGTAAGCTTGAGTTGGTTTTAGGAGCAAAAACTAAATTTGGGGCATGGAGTTTGGACACAAGTGTGTGAAGGGCATTTTAGGCAAACTCATTATATTAAAACCTAAATTTACAAACCAGATCAATTTCAGGGGATGAGGTAGTTTGCATGACTTTACAGAAGGGTTCATTATCCTCTTAACTCTCAAGTCCTCAGCTATATGTCCCACCCCCACTGGAAAATCAGATCTAATTTATAAAAAACTCAATTTGAACTTAGCCTTATTCTAATTAAAATTAACAAACAAAAAAATTCAATTTACCCCCAACTTCCCCTGACTGTGTGTGAAGTCAGTATGAGGGGCCTTGATGGCCCAGGTTACAGGTCTATGAAGGCCCTAGGGTCTTTCTTACACCTCTTCTCACATCTATATGCACAGAGACCAACTTCAACCTCCCCAACTCACCCAACTTGCAAAGAGGGAAACAAGAAAGACTGGGGAAGGGGCTGCCCTAGGCTAACATACCAGAGTTCTCCCAACAGGAGAAAAGGGCACAGATGCCAGAGTCATACCAGTCTGTGTTCAACCCTAATTGGCCAGACTGAGTTCAGCTGAGTCACTTTCCTATTGACTTCAGTTTCCTCATCTGTAAAATGGGACAATAGTACTGAACTGCTGATGGATGGCACATGCTAAGGCAGAGCCCATGCTTCTGAGCACACCCTCAACTCCCTCCCCACCCAGACCAGCAAATCACCAACATGCCAACTCTGTGTCCAAATGTTGCTTTATCTTTCAGCATGAAAGATCTTCACAGTATCAAAAGTAAAGAATTGGAAAAAAATAAAATAAAAACAAAAACAAAAAACCGAACACAAAGAGAGCAGTGTTGGGCCAGCAGTACCATCAGCCCCGGCCCTTAGGCCAGCCCAGTCCGCAGGCTCTGAGTGTGGAGGCTGCGTAGCACCAGGAAGCGGCTCTGCTGAGGTCAAGGGGCCCCAGCACAGTGTGGCATCCGTTCAGCTTTTGGTTGGTCCAGGATGTTGGGGAGCAGACAGGGTCTTAGGTGGGTAGGTGGAGCACATGGAGGGAAAAACTGTAGGCCTTCAGCTGGCAGTCAGAGCCTCAGGACACCCTGAAGAAGCTCAGCCTGGGCAGGGCCTGAGAAAGAAAAAAAGAGCAGGATCACAGTAAGCAACAGCTCATGCTCCAGCCTTCCTGTGCCATTTGGTTCCCCATGGGTCTTTGGTGGCAGAAACAGCTGGCTATTTTTGTTCCCTGGGCTGAAAATGTTGAACAGATTCCCTGGATCACCTGTAGCAGAGGATGAAGGTTAATGGGTTGGGGGACATAGCCCCAGTCCTGGGATCCTGAGAAGATGTGGGACAATCTAGTAGATCCAGCCTTTGGTACTTGATGTCTATCGGCAGGTGCTGGGAAGCCAGCTGTGCAACTGTGCTCTTGCCTCTGACTCTAGGTGCACAGCCGGGAGAAGGGTGGAGAGGGTCAAAGGAGAGCATTTACTAGGGGGTGGGGAGAGTGGCATCTCCTATCTTGGAAAAGAGACCAGACAAGGTGAAAAAGAGTCAAGAGGAAGGAGATGATTGCATTTGATTTCCTGGATGACAGAACTGGGCTTGTGGGAGGAGATGCAATCTCTTTCTCTCAGTAGGGATAACAGATGAAGTGCTTGGGGTTCCTGCTGCTCCTGGTTCCCATGAAGGTGGAGAAGAGAGGTGGGAGGGCACCTTGGCTCTAGAAGACACTTCTGGGGCTTATGGGCATCTTAATTTGGCAAAGGGGGCTGACTGAGCATAGCCCCCTCAGAGCAGAGGAGGATTAAAGTGAGCGTAAGGAAGACGATCTGGACTCTAGAGCAGCACAAAGGTCACAGGGAGCCCCAGCTCTGAAGGCTACCCTGGCTGCAGGCTCTCTGGGCTGCCCTGGGGAGCTGAGGGTCCAGGAAGTCTGCTGCTTAGGCCCAGAGAGGAGCTGCTTTGGCAATGGAAAGAGGAAAAAGACAGGTGGGGCCATCAGAGGGGAAGTGAGTTGTTTGTGAGCTCAGCTGCCTGCCTCAGCCTTACTGTCTCCAGAACAGCTGTGTGGTTGCCAGCCAGAAAAGGCCTGACCCCAGGGGTGCAGCTGAGGGTTGAGATATGAAACTGCAGAGCCACTTGGCCCCCAGCCCAGCCCAGGGCCTGCCTGTTAGCTGCCCCTCTCTTCATCAATAGGATTCCCGGCTCAATGCCGTTTCCAGGCTTCTGTTCCCAGTCCAGATCATCATCTGATACATCAGTTTCAGACAAAAGGACCTGTGTGGGTGGCTGGGAGGGGATGCCAAAGCCATGTGGCAGCCAGGTCTCCTCTTCTTGGAGGCAGTGTGGCTACCAATATCCTCATGGAACTTGTACTGCTTCGGGGAGCCCCTATTAACTCCTCCATGCCTAAATGACCTACAAACTGTCAGACCTACAAGATGGCTGTCCTCTATGATGTGCACTCAGGGCCAGCCCCTTCTTACACTGCTTCAGCTGGGAAGCACCTTGGTAGCCTACATTTGAGGAGTCCAGGCCAGGAAGTAGGACTTGACGCAAGGTATGATAACATTAGGGGTGATGGCAGCCCTATGAGTCCAACAGCTACCTGGGCACTTTTGAAAGCAGCTGGTAAGACCCTGGTGGTGATACCCTAGGGGATGGCAGTCCAGGAAGGGGCCCTTCAGGAACATGGGCAGGAGGGCCCAGGGAGGAGGAACAGAAGAACAGAGGCCTACAGCTGAGTGGTTGTAGGAGGAGATGGGGCCTAGACCTTTGGAGACTGTAGCCAGTTGTGCCATTGCTGTGTAAGTGCAGAAGCCAGGGATCCCATGCCCAAAGTCCAACTCCCTCTGCCCCAGAGCACAGAATAGTCTGGCGGGGGCAGAGAAGGTGGCCAAGCACAGGCAGAGGCAGTGCATGTTTAACACTTGGGGTCTGTGTACCTCAGTGAGCTGAGCTGGGAGTGGTTTTCTTGAGGCTGAAGTTGGTCCAGTTCACAGCAACTTTCTGACGAGTTTGCTTTGCAGAATCCAAACAGAACCTGTTGGGTTTGAGGGACACAAGAGGACAATCAGAGGTTCCCTCCCTTCCTCACTGGACTCCTAAGGTACCATGTCCCCATCACTAAGAAACCAGGTTCTCTACACAACCTCTTTGGCTTTCAGGTATTAGGGTTTAGCAGGCATAGGAGCTTTGCTGGCTTGGGGGCTTCTGGACTGGGCCCAGGGGACAACGTATGAAGACGATGATTCCAGTTCCCTCCTCAACTGGTATTTGACTTTCTAGCTCTGCTGGGCTGGCTTCCATCATTCCCTTAAGTACAGCTGTCCCTCTGAATCTGCAGCGGATTAGTTCCAGGACCTCCCCAGATACAGAAATCTGCAGATGCACAAGTTCTTTATATAAAATGATGTAGTATTTGCATATAACCTACACAGCTCTTCCCATATACTTTATCTTTTTTTTAAAAAAAAAAAAAAAAAAAAAAAAGAGAGATGGGGTTGCACTATATTGACCAGGCTGGTCTCAAACTCCTGAGGTCAAGTGATCCTCCCACCTTGGCCTTCCAAAGTGCTGATCCCAGGTGTGAGCCACTGTACCTGGCCTTCCCATATACTTTAAGTCATCTCTAGATTACTTAAAGACCTTAAATGCTATATAGTTATTACATTTTTATTTATTTATTTTTGAGACAGTCTTGCTCTATTGCCCAGGCTGGAGTGTGATGGCACAATCCTGGCTCACTGCAACCTCTGACTCCCAGGTTTAAGTGATTCTTCTACCCCAGCCTCTTGAGTAGCTTGGATCACAGGCATGCACCACCATGCCCAACTAATTTTTGTATTTTTAGTAGAGATGTGGTTTTACCATGTTGGCCAGGCTGGTCTTGAACTCTGGACCTCAAGTATCTTGGGTTATCCGCCTGCCCTGGCCTCCCAAAGTGCTGAAATTACAGGTGTAAGCCACGGCCTGTAAAAATACCTTTTTTTTTTTTGAGATGGAGTCCCACTCTGTGGCCCAAGCTGGAGTGCAATGGCACAATCTCAGCTCACTGCAGCCTCTCTCCCAGGTTTCAGTGATTCTCCTGCCCCAGCCTCCCGAGTATAGCTGGGATTACAGGCATGTGCCACCAGGCCTAGCTAATTTTTGTATTTTTAGTAGAGACAGGGATTCACCATGTTGGTCAGGCTGGTCTCCAACTCTTGACCTCAGGTGATCTGCCTGCTTCGGCCTCCCAAAGTGCTAGGGTTAGAGGTGTGAGCTACTGTGCCTGACCAAAAATACTAATTTAAAAAAAATTCACATTATTTAGTAATGTATTGCTATTTTTGTGCTTTTTTTCTTGAATATTTTTCATCCGCAGATGCAGAACCTGCAGATATGGAGGGTGACCGTATGCTGTGTTTCTTTCACCCTAATCTTTTGTACTCACTGGCCCACCCAGCATAAATACTTTTTCATTTTATCTGGCCAACTCATTCTTACTTCAGGTTTCAGCCTGGTTACCACCTCTCTTGGGAAGGCCTCCTGGCCAGCCCCCACCCCTTCTATCCTTCCCAACCCCATGGCATTTATCAGTAGGCTGGGTGTTCACGGCCATCTAGACTGCTTCATTGACCTCAGCCCAGGCAAAGCAGAGAATGTGCAAGTGAAAATACAAAGCAAACAAAGCTGGAAAAAGCCCTGGTTCTTGGAGCCTGACATGCCTCCTCCTCTCTGTCTCTTGTACCTTCCTAGATGTGCCATCCCGCTCAGTGGCTCTGAGTTTTCAGCAGGCAGGCTGGTGGGAGAGGGCTGAGAGGGGCGGCAAGCCTCCCCAAGGGGTCAGGGGCAAGGGAGCAGGCCTTTCTGAGGCCTGAAGCACAACATGGGGCTTGAGTGTGGGCAGGACCTGGAGTCCTCCACAGTGGGAGAGCAGGCAGCCCACACCTACCTCTTAAAGTACTCCACCTCTCGGTCAGTCTCATCCATCTCCACCCCGTCCATGTCCTTGGGCAGGAACACATCGTCTAGGAAGACACAGCCAGGAGGGCTCAGTGCCCATGGCTAGGCCTCTGGGGTTATGGTCTGGGGGCAGCGTTGCCTACATACAAAGGCTGCCCCTCCACCCCGTGGCCTGGCTGGGGTAGGGGGTCAGCCACTCGGTTCCTGGTGCACTCACCCAAGGAGGAGGCTGGCTTCTCCTGCTTGTTGCGGCTCCGGCGGCTGCGGCCCTTGCCCTGGGGCAAGCTCTGTGGCCTTGCTGGGCCTGGGGGCTGCAGAGATTCCTGCTCCAGAGGCCGTGCCTTGGCCTCGCCTGGCCAGTTTCGCCAGGAGCTGCCCTTTTCCTTCTCAGTTTTGGGGCTGCCGGCCCAACCTGGTCCTGGCCGGCTCCCCTGGCTCCCCTCTCCAGCCTCGGCATAGCTGCCTACTTTGGGAGGCTCTGGGATCTTGCCTGGCTGCTTGGGGCCAGCAATCTGGCCCTTGGCAGTGGGAGCCTCTAGGCTGGCTGGGGGCTGGGGGGCTGGGCTTGCTTCGCTCTTCTTGGCTTGACTGCCCTGCCTCTTGCCCTTCCGCGGCTTCCCACCTGAGGCCACAGGCTCAGGCAGCTCCTGCTTGCAACTGGGAATATCCTTTGAGCTTGGCTCCTCAGAGCTGGGGTAACTTGGCTTGGGTGTCTTGACCCAGATCACCCGGGACAGGTTGGGCACGGTGTTGAGTCTCCTGACGAGCCCGTTCTCAGGGACGATACTGGGAGGGGGGCCCCTCACCTCGGTCCATGGTGGGTGGGGGCCTCTCATTTCCGTCCATGGTAGGGCTGGCTCGCCTGGAGCTTGTAACGTGTGGTTCTGGGGGGAGGCCAAAGTCAAAGGGGACAGGTCAAGGTTGATGTCAGGCTGCTGCTCTGCCAAGCCACTGAGGTTTGAGGGGGGTAGACTCTGAGGCTCGGGCTCAGCAGCTCCCTCCTTAGAGAAGCCATTGCTGTCCATGCTGAGCTCACACACACTGAAGCTGGCACGGATGGAGTCCTTGACAGTGTTTTTGATCTCCTGCAGACGGCTGCTTAGGAAGCTGTTGACCCGATCCAGTTCCTGGTCAGGCCACTCCAAGAACTTCTCCCTGGCAGGCCTTGGCTCCCGGCTTCCAGAAACACGATTTGCCTGCTTTAGAGCTTCTGCTGCCAACTGGGCCTTCTCCTTTTCCTGTCAAGACAAGAGGCAGTTTCAGCAGGGGCCTGTCAACTTCTAGGCACAATGTGATACCTGACCTATCAACCTGGGGCCCAGCTTTGCCACGAACTTGCTGGAGGCAAAGCCTTAAAATCCTAGCCTGCTTACCTACCCTGCAGGAGTGAGGGCAAAATGCAGCCACACAGGTGCTGTCCTGGCGGCAGGGGTACAGTCACACCCACAGAGGGCAGGGTTTTTACAGCTTGTCCACCCAGAGCCCCAGTCTCAGTGCACTCATCTGCACAATGGGGACAATAATTCCGAAGTAAAGCCAAAGTGGGGATGCATGTGAAGAAGAATGCTACTAGAGAGGCATTCTCTCCACCCCTGCTGGTGGTGGGAAAAAAGCCACACCATCATGGGGTCTTACAGGAGGCAGGTGTGGGGGCAGATGAGACTGCTCTGGTTGGGAGGGCATGTGCCTTCCTGATGCTATGTCTGGGTATTACCAAAGAGGGCAGTGTTCCCGTAGAAAGGCCACTTGCTGCACACTTGGTCTCAAATAATCAAGGCCACACCTACAGTGTGCCCAGTGGCACTGGCCTACACAGCAAGATGTGAGAGCTGCTTCTTTACCCAAGAGAGGCCTCGAAGGCTCAGGGAGGCTGGGCCCTGCCAGTTGGCTTTGATAGAACTGGATCTAGGGAACTGAAATGAGGGCTTGCTACCACCTCAGAGTCAACATAAAGAGGGTGACTCTGTGCCCCAGCAGGCAGGCACTTATTCTCATCTTTTGTGAACCCTGGCTTCACAATGGACTATGGTTAATTGTTCTGTGGGACCTTGGACAAATCACTTATTCTCTTTGAACCTTACTTTCCCTATTGGTAAATTAGAAAGAAGAGGTATCTCTACATTCCAGGGTCACTACGAGGACAGCTAAGAGTCTGTGTGGGATCCCTTCCCATGTGCGAAGGTGGGGCTGGGCCTCATAACCCTCAGGGAGCAGCTCGTCCTGCAGCAGCTGCAGCAGCATTTCTAGCTATGGGTAGAGCTCAGAGGCCCTGGGTTTGGACCAATGAGGACCGAGGGCCCTTCAGGTCACTTCCCTCCAGCACCACACAGATTTCACAGAAAAGTTTTGCTGCTAAAAAAAGAAGTCTGACAAATACTGGTGTGGAGGGAGTGACATGGAACCATATACACTCTGGTAGCAAAAGAAGAAAGCACAGAAACATACACTTTCTGCTCTGTATGGTGAGCACTTCACATAGGTATCTCTTTTAATCCTCGCCACTGTCTTTGCTGCATCATGACCCTCTGTTTATAGGAGAGAAACCTCGACTTTGGAAAGAACAGGAAGTGGCTAGGAAGTAGGAGAGCCAGGACAAAACACCCAGGCCTGTTCTTCAGAAGTTCATATGTTTCTCAATTCCATCTGACCATTTACCAACCATTGAGGCTATGAGGCAGTGGGGTAGGCCCTGTGAATTTAGTGTACGAGCGACAGTCTCCGCCTCGCTGACTTTAGTCTGATGGGGGAGACAACAGCAAACAGCCTGTTGAATTGAGAGTGACAGTAATAAGTGCTGCATGGAAGCAAGCACAGGGTGACCTTGGAACCTAGAGGAGGTGCTCCCAACCCAGACTGGGTCACCAGGGTGTGCTTCTCAGAGGCGGCAGGGAACCTGAGCACAGAAGCGGGAGTGGGATCGTCCTGGAGGCAGAGACAAGCATTTTCTAGAGAGAAGGAATGCAAGCAGAAAGGCTGGAAATGGAAAAGCTTCTGGGAATGCAAATCATTCAGAGGTACAGCTGTAGCCGATTTTTTAGGGGATGTGGGGGTTGGATGGGGCAGATGGGCAGGAAGGCCAGAAAGGAGAGGCTGATAAAGCTGGCAAGCTGGGCAGGGGCTGATTGTGAAGACCCCTGCAGGCCCTACAGGGTGTGTGCCCAAAGGCAATGTCCAGCCACTGATGGCTTTTAAGGTAGTGGTAGTAGGGTGGAGAGCAGTGGACTGGTCTGAGCTGTCAGCGAGGTGGCATGGATAGGGCTTTTGGTGATGGGTAGGGACAGAGAATGAGAAAAGTCAGAAAAACATTGACAACCACTATGGCTGCCATAGCAGTTCCATTGCCCAAGCACTCACACGTGCCAGGCACTCTGCCCAACCTTTCCATGCATCATTCCATTTCATCCTCACAACAATCTATGACTTAGGTTCTGTTATTCTCATTTTATGGATGAAGAAACTGAGGCTTAGAAGTTAAGTGATTTGCCCAAGGTCATACAGCAAGTGTGGCAGAGCCAAGCATCAAACTGAGATCCAGTTCCAGGCACGCTGCTCTGGGTCGCTATGATGCACTCCTCAGGCCAGCACCCAGGGCTCCAGCTCAGGCAACGGGGGGGAGGCAGTGCCACTGACTAGACAGACAACAGAGAATGGATAGCAGGCCTCTTTGGAGAAAGACTGCAAGCTGAACTTTGGATGTGCAGAGTCTGAGATGCCTGTGGGATATGCACAATAAGGAGGTGCCCAGTAGCAGCTGGAGATGTGGATGTGCAGGGCAGGGAGGAAACACTATCTGGCTGTTTCTAGATGGCATCTCTCTTTCCCAAGGAGATGTCCCTATGAAGGAGGGTCAAGTGGAGGAAGAGGAGCTCACAAAGGAGACAGAAAGGACATCAGAGAGGAAGGTAAGAAATCTGGAGAACATGGCAGTCCCCCTGCCCTTTCCTGCCTGGCTGAGGACAGAGGAGCCAAAGGCAATGCTTGAGAAGGAGAACAAACACAAAATGCCAGATGTTCTCTAGTGGACTGATATGATGAGAACAGGAGAGGAGAATGGATTTGGCAACAGAAAAGTCACTGGTGACTTTGGAGAGGGTGTGGGTAGAAAACAGTCTGCAGTGAGCTAACTGGAGGGGAAGTGAAGACAGTGAATGCAGACGTCATTTTTCAAGAAATGTGGATGTGATGACAGGAAAGAGGCTGGGGAGGGGCTGAGAGAGAGGTAACAGGCTTTACTTCCAACAGACAGTGGTGGACACAATGAAATGTGGATAGGAACAGCAAGGAGGAGAGACTAAGCTATAGCAGGAGGCTGTGGCTGGGCTGAGGGGTCAAGAAAGTACCACATGGGCCTTAGGCGGGAAAAGGGTGATTCTCATGACAAGGAAGAAAGTATGTTTGCAGGTGGGAATGGCAAGACAGCAGGAGAATCCCTGTACAATGGCTTTTTTCCTCATTGAAATAGAAAGTGAGGTTATTTGCCAAAAAATAAGGCATGGGCTGCTAAGGCCTAGCGGTTTGGGAATGGAGGCCTGACAGAGGGACTGTGGGGAATGGATGTGCTAAGGCACAGGAAGCCCAGGGAATCATGAGAAGCCTGCCTGGCGACATGGGAGCTTGGCAAGTGGAGTCCACATGGCTGGGTGCCACGGATTCACTCACATGCTTTTCTTGAGATGTAGAAAGGGAGAGCCAGGCTGGGGTGGAACCCAGGGCTGCAGTGTTTCTGAGGGGTCTGAAGGAAAGATAGTGGGGCAAGGAATTGAGTACTGGTAAGAGAGTGGGTGATGGGTCAATTTGCCTGCCCTCCTACCAATACTTAGCAATGCTTACTCCATTCAAGTGAGTGAGGAACAGACTGGCCTGGGAAGAAGAGAAAGCATCAGGAGAGTCTTCGGTGGATGTGGAAGAGTGGTACAGAGGTCACAGATGACACAGCCAAGGGTATAGTTTTAAAGGAGCAGGCTAATTGTCTCTCTGCTCCTTTCTCCCACTGCCAACCCATGACTTTACCCTTTGTGTAGACAGATACACCAAGTCAGAAGTAGAGAGAGCCATGGGCTGGCAGTGGGAAAAGGGAGCAGAGAGACACTGTGTTGTGTCCATCTGCTGAGGCAGGAGAGAAGGAGCAGCTGTCATGAAACAGCTACTGGGGGTGGCTGGGCTTTGCTGGACAGCCAGACTGTGAAGTCCAGGAGGTAGGGGGAGACAAGGGAGGAGGCTGCTGTCTACAGAGATAATGACCACAATCTCTGTACACATGATACTGCCACTGCCTATTTATTTCTGCCTGCAGCCCCACGACTAAGTCTGGAAAGGCAGGGCTGCCTGGTTCTGCCTGGGCCTGCCAGACAGGAGCTGTGCAGTGAGCTGTGGGATGAGTGAGCAGAACCTCGAGATATATGAGTTGGGGCAGGAATACAGTGGAAGTTACCCAAGGACGGCTATGAAGGAGGAAGCAGCTGAACTGAGCTTGGAAGGAAAGTTTGTCAGAAGAAAAGGAGAGAGAAGATAACATTATCAGTAAAGGGGAAGAGACATCTGGGCACACAGACTTACGAAAAGCACACCAGACCTGGGAACTGTCGGGTGTGCTCTCTGGGGACCTAACTGGGAACTACTGCCCTAAGAAGCCAGGAAAGGCCAGAGGGACTACTGCAGCCCACTGAACCTTTCTGGCTGGGTGACTCTGCATGGGAGAAAGACAGTGCTGACCACATTCAGAAGGCAGTGGTGGGATCGCTTGGCTCACTACTTCAGGTGGCAGGAGAAGGATCCTGGTTGTCCTTGGGGCTGAAAAAGGATGGTGAATCACTTCTGCTTTCCAAAGCACTAAGGCTGTTTGACCACCCAGGAGCTGGAACTAGCTGGTTGATTACACCCAAATCTCTTCGGATGCTGAGCTCCCAAGCGTGTCACTGTGCAGATGCAGTTGGGAGTAGGCAGATGAAGAGGTAATGAAGCCACAAGGGATAAGCCATCAAGCTCCAGGGCTCATCTGGCAGGAGGGCTGCCTGGTAATAGCTCACCGGGTTCCATCCTCAGCCCTGAGGACTGGTTCATTCCCCTGGCTTCAATTACATCTCTGTGCTGGTAAATGCTAGCCCTGCACTTCTCCACTTAGATGTCTCACGGGAACCTTCGAGTCAACATGCCTCAACTGAGTTCACTGTCTTCTGCAAATCCATCCTGGCTCAGTGAAAGGCACCACCATCTTGCTGGTCACCAAGCAAACACCTGGGAGACATCCCTGCCTCCATCTCCCTCTCCTGCCATCAGATCAATGGCCCATCACTTCAGCTTCCTCTGAAAATCCCTCTCTTCTTCTCTGGCCCCAACATCAGTCATCTCTCCCTTGGCCTGCATTTCCTGCCTGAGGCATCGAACTTGAGGTCTTCCTGCCTGGAACCCTCCAAGCTACCTTCCATTTGGCCATGCTATAATCTTAGGATGCAGGTGTGACCAAGTGCATTCTTTGATTAAAACCCTCAGTGACTTCTCTCACCCGTAGGATAAAGCCAAAGCTCTTCTGCAGGGCCTTGGAGGCCCTCCCTCAACAACACTGTCCATCCCGCCTCTCTTCTGCTCAGTTTTGGCTGTCAAGCTCCTGTGGAATGTGCCGTGCCCGCTGCCAGGAGAGCCCTCCTCAGGAGTCTGTACTCACAGTCAGCCTCTTGTAAAGCCATTTCCAGGCAGGATGGGGGACTTCCCTCATCCCAGTACTTGTCACATGCTAATATGCTCGTCCAGTTTTGTGTCAGTCGCCCCACTGGACTCAGCTTCTCCTGGGTGAAAACTTAACTGTGTCACACTTTGGCTGCCAGTATTTGTAGAAGTGTTTGCTGAACGAATAAATGACTGACTGAAGCAAGTCCTCGGCTTGGAGGAATCCAGCAAGCAGCTTCTCAGGCCAGGACACTTTTTCCTCCAGTTATTTGCCCCCAGGCTCCCTGACCCTGATGCCTCCCAAACTCATTCAGACCTTCCCAGAAAAGTAAGTCAAGCTGAGGCCGTTGGCAGCCAGCATTATTCATGCCCCAGAAGTCCTGGGGGTTGAGGTGAGGGTCCTCAGGGACGAGAGATGGCAGAGCTGGGCTCCCCCTACACCCACCTTCTTTTTCAGCTTGTGCCGGGCCCGCTTGGCGGCCCTGGTGCTGTTGGGGACTTTGGGCTCCGTGCTGTTGATGAATTCCAGCAGCTCATCCACATCTCGGTGGTCCACGGCGGGCTCCCCAGGGATCCCGCCCAGGGCGCCCCCCTTCATGGGCAGCTCCTCTTTCCGCCTGGTCAGCCTCGAGCGGAGCTTCTCCCGGATCTCAGTATAATTCCGACTCGTCGGGGCAGCGGGTGGCTGGGGGAGGGGGAGGTGCTGACATTACACCCTGGGCCTGGGAGGCCCATAGCACTCCCACCCGCTGGCACCAAGTATGTGATGAGAAGCAAGACAACTGTTCTACCATTAGCCACCAAGGCCACATGGCTTCACCCTCTCAGCCAGACTGAACCCAGGCGGCAGTGGGTGAAGGGACTGGGAGGGAACAGGGTAGAACTGGGCAAATAATTAACTGGGGAGCCAGGAAAGCAAGTTTGAGCCCGGGCTTTATCACTGGGAAGCTGTATGACCTTGGGCAAGTCACTGAGTCTTTGTGAGCCTCAATTTTGTCATTTCTAAAACAAGGATAATAACCCCTAGCTCAAAGGTGACTAGCAATTTAATTACTTTCATTTCTTCTATCCTCAGCTGCTCTACCCTAACCGGCAGCCCTCTCCTCTTCACCTTATGAGACTTCTGCACTGCTTCCTCCCCCTGGCCAGAGCCAGCATGCCCTCTGATCTGAGCCTCCTTCCTGGCGCCGTCTGTGCTCACGGCCTGTCCCTCGGCTGGCTGTCACACTTGGGGGACTGAGAGCCTTTTTGCTTCCACTCTGCCTTCATCACGCCCAAGCGTTCACTTCTCTGGGATTACACACGTATACATACTCATCAGAATCATAGCTCTCTGCCATTTCCTTTCCTTTTGCCTAAGGAAAAAAAGTCAATCTTAAGAGAAACCACAAGAAGAGCAAAGGTAGCAAAATGTTTAAAAACCCCTACCTCACAAATGTGCTGTGAGACTCAAGCGAGCGGACGCAGGTTCGAGGACTCACACAGCCCCAGTGTGGTTGGTAATTACCACCATGAGCAAGGGGGCCTCTGGGGAGAGCAGGGTGCTCCTTTTGCTCACCTTGGCTGGCCCCCAGCCCTCTCTGGCCTGGGCAGGCTCACTCACCGCATTGTGGCCGAAGAACTCACAGTAGCAGCAGTCACAGAACTTCCCATCTCTCTGGTGGGTAGAGGACGAGGTGCAGGAGCTTCGCTCAGAGCTGCTATCCTCTTCCTCACCCAGCCCCTCATCTGCTTCACAGGGCTGGGGCAGCTGGCAAGCCAGGCCACTGTGTGCAAACTTGTGCCCCTTGCACCCAGGATCCCTGCTGATGGGGAGGAAGGCCCAGAGGTGAGGGAGAGTGACACAGGAGCCCAGGAAGCATCCCAACCACCACCTGCTGTCCAGACCACCCTTCACTTGCCCCACTCCACAAAGAGCCTAGGCAGTCCAACTGCATTGCACCTCTCACCAGAACAGGGTGAACACCCGCACTGTCCCTCAGGGCCCATCCTAAACACAAATGTGGCTCTTCTGGAAAGAAGAGGCCCCATGCCTCCCCTGCCTGCACCCACCATGCACCCCTTCTCAGGCTACTGAGCACACCTCACTCTATCCTCCGCTTATTGTGTGTCACTGTCATGGGTGTGTGTGTGTGTGTGTGTGTGTGTGCGTGCGTGTGTGTGCGTGCGTGCGTGTGTGTGCGCGCGCGCGCGCATCTATCTCTTAAACTAGACTGCACATCTCAAGGCCAGGGGCTGTCTCACTTCTATTTTTGGGTCCCAGTGTATAGTACAACAACCTTGCACACAGCAAGTGCTCAATAAATAGGTCTGAACCCAGTAGTGGGCTGATGGCTCCTCTGGAAAACCAGACTATCCACGAGGTCAGTCTCCTTCCACTTTCTAAGGTGCTTCTTGGTCGAGTCTGGTGCTCTGGAGCAGTGGGTGGAGCTGCCTTAACCACAGGGCACAGAGTTGAGGAAAAGCAAGTAACTTCTGGGCCACAGATTATAAGAGCCACTGTTTGTGCTAGGTTCTGGATTCGGCACATTATTTCTAACCATCCCCCAAATCCTGCAATATAAGTGTCATTATCCCCACTTTGCAGTGGTGGAGAGTGAAGCTGAAAACTTGAATGCTTTGCCCAACTGGTGGCCAGGACTCAAGGATGCAAACAGACCCTGACAATGATGCACAATGAACAGGAGGATAAAGTGAGGAATGCACAGGCCCTGAGAAGGGATGAATGGTGGGTACAGGCAGGGGAGACGCAAGGAACTCAAGCCCCCATTTCTCTCTATGCAAAATTCATACTCTCTCCACTGTACTGTTCTGCCTCTGAATTTCAGGGAGCACTGGGATATCTTGTAAGATAGACTATTTTCCCAGGGTAAGAATGAGACATATGCCTGAAACATCCCATAATTTGAGCCAGGAAGAGCTGAAGCCTTAGGCTGGGTCATGAGCAGCTGAAGCACCCATTGGGCTGGTCCCAACACTGGGGTGAGGATGAGGTGGCAAGGGAACCGAGAGCAAGGACGGAGCTCAAGGAGTTGTGTGCCTAGCTTCCAGGGCAGTCCAAAGCAGCCCTCTCTGCTGCTAGAAAGGATGCTAAACAAGGGACAAGGATTAAAAAAGATGGTGGGAGGAATCATCATCAGTGGTGCTTACAGAAGTTTATTCCAAACTGACCATTCGTTATCTATTGCATTAGCAAAATTGATTTTATTTTTGAGACAGGCTCTCACTTTGTTGCCCAGGGTAGAGTTCAGTGGCATGATGTCAGCTCACTGCAGCCTATACCTCCCAGGCTAAAAGTGATCCTCCTACCTCATTCCCAGCAACCTGAGTAGCTGGAACTAGAGGCATGTACAGCATGCCCTACTAATTTTTAAATTTTTTGTAGAGACAGGGTCTCATTATGATGCCCCTGCTAGTCTCCGACTCCTGGGTTCAAGGAATCTTTCCACCTTGGCCTCCCAAAGTGCTGGGATTATAGGCATGAGCTAGCGTACCACGCTGCAAAAATGATTTTAGAAAAATTAAAATAGTGTGCCTGAGAATATGGAAAAACCAGCACTCACTGGAGATTGCATCAATCTGGAGAGCCCTTTGAATAGCAGTTTTTCAATGTGTATTAAGAACCCTCAAAAAGAACACAAAACACACAAAAAAACACCTAAACAGCCTTTAACTGATAACTTTTTTCATTCTGAGAACTTGATTCCAATGAGAAAAATCCAAAAGAGGAAAATGCTTTAAGCAAATACATCTTTAGAGACACTGTTGGTAATGTTAAAATGTTAAAATAACCTAAATGCTCAGCGACTGGGGAACAATAACATGAATTGCAGTCGATGTTCTCCAGTCTTTGAAGCTAGGTGCTGAGAACACCACAGGAATACAAACATGCTGAGGAGGGAACACAAAGTGAACACTGGCGGGCAGCAGACTGTGCAGACACTGTCAACCCAGCATGTGCAAGGCACAGGAGACTTTCCAATAGGAAAATATAATACACAATAAACACAGATCTGAGTTATAACATAAAAGTACACATCTTCACCAAAGAATTCTCTTTCAAATATATGTTAATATAACCTTTCTTAGTAGAGCTACTTCTAAGAATCTCCCTAAAGGACATGATTTCTCATTCAAACAGATTTAGGTGCAGGGATGGTTATTACAGTCTCATTCATCATGGTTAAAAAACTGGAAATGCCTACATGTCCAGGAATAGAGGGAATGACAAAGTATGCTTGCGCTATATAGTAAGACATTATATGGCCATTGAAAAGTTTCTTGAAGAATTTTAACTGGGGAAATGATCACGACGTAATGTTCAAAAATTACTATACAAAAGGTATATCAAATATCTAATTATGTTATTTATATACAGAAATGTCATGGTGAAAATATACTACAGTGGTAGAATTTAGGTTGTGAGGACATTTTTTTCCTTATACATTTCTGAATTGTTCCAAGTTAAAGACAAAACAAAACAAAATACAAAACAAGCAAACCCACATACTAGTTGTTTTTTTTTTAAGCTCTGTCATACAAGCTGGAGTGCAGTGGCATGATCAATGCTCACTGCAACCTCAAACTCCTGGGTTCAAGCAATCCTGCTGCCTCAGCGTCCTGAGAAGGTAGAACTACAGTTGCATGTCATCACGCCCAGCTAATTTTCAAAACTTTTTGTAGAGAGGGGGTCTCGCCACGTTGCCTAGGCTGGTCTCAAACCCCTAGGCTCAAGTGATCTTCCTGCCTAGGCCTCCCAAAGCGCTGAGAGTATAGGTGTGAGCCACTGTGCCTGGCCAAAACACATACTTCTTTACAATTGGAAAAATAATGAAAGAAAATACATAGTCTATTCTTTAATTTCCACCTCAAAGTTACCTAAAAATTTTCCAAAATTCTGAGTTCAAGTGGGCAGAGTGTTTGCCCTTCATGCAGCACACTTACCTGTGAGTGCTAGGGAGTGGCTGAGAGCTCGGGGGTGGGAGGAGAGGCCCACTGCAGTGCCCACCACAGTGCCCGCTGCAGGGGTGGCTGCACCCCGAGAATGGCGGGGGCATCTTCAGGAGCGGCATGCTGGTGGAGGGCAGATGGGAGCTCTGACATGGTCCTGGAGTGTGGGGGGTGGAGGCAGCAGCGACAGGGCACTCTGAAGCCTGGGCAGGGAAAGGTGCTGCCGGGGTGGTGGGCAGCAGGTGTGGGTGGGGTGGAGAGCCAAAGGAGCTGGGGAGAGACGGGATTAGAGATGCTGGCTGGGGGTGGTGGCCGGTGGGGCTGTTAGGGGGAGCAGTGAGGTCTGAGTGCTGGTGGTGCTCCGACATGGGGAAAGCCTCACCTGTGGGCAGAGGGAGGAGAAAGGGGTCAGAATGAGAGCCCATACCTGGGAAGGAAAGCCCATAGGCTCACTGCCACAGCTTCCTGCTTCTGTGACCAGAGGGCAGAGCATCCCAGCACAGGTGACCCTGGAGCTGGAGAGAATTCTGTGTGGGCAGCAACACAGCTAAGCAGGCTCAAGGAGTCCAGGCCCAAGCAAGAAGATACTAGGAATGCTGATTCCACAGAAGGCCCCATGCCTTTTCTGTAGCATGAGCAGGGTATATGTATTCTGTCTCTCAGGGTCTCCCTAGGATCTGGTTGTACACAGGTGCTCTCCTCAGGCCTGGAGGATGACCTGCAGAAGCCAGGGAAGCAGCAGGTCCAGGCTCTGCCCCTGTGCCATGTGTACCAAAGCAGCAGGGCATGCCAGACCCTTGAGGGCCCTAGATTTCAGAGAAGTGGGAAAAAGGTTCTGATGACTCTCTAGCTTATGTACCAAAATAAATGGAATTACGTACTGCTCAACACTCATAATTCTGGGGGCGGCACCATTTTGAAGTTCTCAGCCCCTTCATTTAGAAGTATGACAGTAAGTCATATTTATATATAAACCAATAACTCAAGAGTTTTGTCTCTGGGTCTCTTAAGAGTTATTTCGGAATCTAAAGAACACTTACACAGCTGCTACGTTGGCTAATAATCATTTTGGTGTACACTGCCAATCTCTTGGGCATTTAGGTGCAGCACTTTGATATCTAACCCTTAGGTGGGGAAATCGAGGCCTTGGAAGATAAGGTTGCCCAGGTCCTCTGTGGTGCTGCAGGGGTCAGGTGATCTAAGTCTTAACGATTCCACTTTCTACTCAGATGGGCCTCATCGGGTGCCCTCTTGATCCAATGTGAACTATCAGAGCCAGTGACAACTTTGAGAGGCAGTTTTTCTATTAGCAGTATTTTTCAAGTTCGGAGTTGTGGGGAAAAGAGTTCCAGAGATAGTCAAGGTCTAAGCTGTCCCTGCTTCAACCAGAACAGTTCCACTTTTGCTTATTTTAGTAACCAGTCTTATGATTTGTTTGAACAAAGTGGATAGGAAAACACAGCTGTCCACATTTATAGGGTCTGGCTCTCTCCCGAGCCTGGAGACTTACCGGGGATGGTAGGAGGACTCCCAAGAGAGCTGTCTGGCATGGCCCCACTGGAGTGTGGGGAATTCCAGAGGCCCGAGAGCTTATGTGCCGATAGGAACGAGCTAGGATCCCAGTCTCCTGAGTTCCCATGGCAGGAAGAGGAGGACGAGGATGAGGATGATGATGAGGAAGAGGAGGAGGAATGAGAGTCATCTCCACAAGACTGTGATTTGCAGGATGTGTGTGACAAGGAGATCTGGAGAAGGAGGAGGAAAAAGGCTCATGGTCAAACAGCAAACATCGGAGCTGACACTCTACTGCCTCAGCTTTTCCTGAGGGAGCCCCTTCTCCAGGCCACTGAGCCACAGCAAAAACACAATGAACACAACTCTAGCTACAGGAACAAATGAGGGCCAGGACTTTGCTGGGAAAAGGCTGTGGTGGTCCCACTTATATGAAGTATGTGGAGACTCGGGAGAGAGATTCTGCTAGGGGCAAAGACTGCCTGTGAACTGCAAGTCTTTAGGGAGTAGAGAGTTGCCAATAACAGAAAGGGCCTTTGGGCCAGGAGTCCTGAAGCTAAACTGATCCTGGGTAAAAGGGAAGATCTGCAGGGACATGAGAAACGAGGGAAGTCTGGCCATTGTGATTCATGAGACAGCAGACTTAGATGGCTCCCAAGTGTCTGTCCTTCTAACTAGAGCACATTTCAGACCCTCAAACTGATCTCCGACCTTTATATTGTACTGGTTGGTTTTCAAGCTGCCACAGAGCCAAAGGCAGCAGGCTCATGATCTACCAGTACTTATGGGTGGATCCTCATCCTGTGCACCGACTACCCTGAGGGACTGACCGGTGGGCTGCCAGAAGTTTCTCTTCTTCCCCCAAATCTGAACTTGAGCTGCCAATGCTGTCAGTGCAGCTCAGCCATTTCTCAGTGCCTGGGGATGGGGGCTGCCCAAGAAAAGCCACCTGAGGACAGGGAACAGCCTGACTTCCTTGGGGAGGCTGCCCTCCTGCATTTAGGTACCCCTTGTCAGCGGTTACCTACCGCCACTGCATGTTCTCGACCTGTCTGCCTTTCATCTTCCTCCATGCTCTTTCGGCAACTCTGGCAGACCCACAGAGGCATCTCGCCTAGGAGATTCTTGACGAGCTTTGGCATGAAGTCAGGGGGCAGCTTCTCACCCTGCAACACCAGTCCATTTTGAGAAGGGCCTTCTTCCCAGCCTTTGCGTTCCCGGTGACACAGCAGGCAGCAAGTCTGCACAGGCTGGCTGGAGGCAGGGGGAACCTGTCCAACAGACAGAAACAGGGTTTCCCAGGAGGGGAAAGGCTCTCCTTCAAAATAATGGTAACAATAATTAGTAATGCCACTTATTACGTGCTGGGCACTGGGCTAGGCACTTTATAGACATAATTTAAATTTAGTCCTTGTAACAGCTCTGCAAACGAGGTGTTCTTATTCCCATTTTTTAGATGAAGAAACAGATTTCGAGAAGTTAAATGAGTTGCCCAAGGTTATAAAGCTAGTGAGTGGTTCAACCCTAGTGAGCCTGACTCCAAA